CCCCTTTCCCCTGCGACCCACAACAAGCCCGGGGAGCGCACGGCCGGGGGCGAGGCGATCGGGCTGGAGGGCCGGTCCCCAACCCGGCGCCGGCGCTCCCAGAGGCCTGAAGGGGTCTGGCAGGGGAAGGGGCGCCCTGCCGCCTGGTTCATTTCAGCCAGCCCGCTGGGCGAAAGGCAGACCCAGAGCCGGGCCAGGGGGCTGCAGGCTGAGCTGAGCCGGGGGCTGCAGGCAGACAGGGAAGTCGATTTCCAAACGAAAAGCCGGATGCTCCCTCCTCCCGGCCCAGGTATTTCTGAAAGCAGCTGGGCAGCGAACCCGGGGTAAAAGCGGTGCTCAGTGAGTGCCACGCCGGGTCCCTGGCCCCTCTGGGCTCCAGGCCTCAGTTGTGAGTGTGTAACAATTGTGTGAGCCCCTCCCGGCTCCTTACAAACTGAGTCCTGGGGAGAAGGCAGCCCGAATCCAGCCACCGGTGGGAAGGGCACCCTCCCTGGAGGCCCGGGGCCCTCTTCCACTCTCCACCCCCCGCCAACCTTCCACCTCCCGTCCCTGCTCCATGAGCCGCCTTTCTCCGCATGACAATGGGCCCTCTGCCTACGAGGAAGCGGCCAGCAAGAAAACATTTGGGTCCAAAGACGCGCGGGCTAACGCGCCGCTCTCCGCAAAGCGCGCCGGCTTTGGCCAAGTATTTAATTAGCCTTCGCAAACTTCTTTCCCTCGCCTGCCGCTTCTAGCGAGCGGAGGGCTGGGAACTATTTTACACCTTGCCACTCACATGTTAATTAATCTCTAGCTAACCCTAATTGCAGCTTATTCAAGCGCCGCGCAGCAGCTCACCCACACAATAAACACGGAGCCTACTTTTATCCCGCTTACTCCACGCTCACACATCGAGTAATTAACTCCAGTCCCAGCTAATAGTGCAAACAAATATTTTCTGTAAACGAGCTGATTTCCAGGCAGGAGAGAGGAGGGCTGGGAACCGGGGCGAGGAACCGGAGGCTGCTTTGCAGGTCACCCTTGCCGGGCACCAAGCTCGGCTCTTGGGCGCTTTCGCTTTGCGCTTTCCCGTTCCCCAGTCCCCCGCCCCGCGCAACTTTCTCCTGCTTTTTGTGTTCGTTGTAACCTCCTGCCGCCTTTCTGCACCGGGGGTTCGCTGGGCCGCGGAAGCAAAGGGCCGGTCGCATCTCGCTCCTCTGGGTTGTTTGCTGTCGGGGGCGGGGAGTCCTATAAGCGCGGACTCCCCTGCCCCCTGCCCCCCAAACCACTACCCCAGGCCCACGGAGAGACTGGAAGGGAAATTCACAACATCCCACGCCCGGGGTTGCTGCAAAGCCGAAAGTGATGCCCGGCGGAGGGGAGGGGGCTTTGCCCAGCACAAGGAATGACCTTCGGAGAGACAGACTGCCCCCCCCCGGGCAGTGCAGAGCCAATACAGAGGGAGCCTGTACCGAGGGCGAAGAGGCTTCGCTGGGCCGAGAACAGCACCCCCCGGGGTCGACCCCCAACGGAAGGGCGGGAGGGGCAGGTTGATGGCTTCAGTCGGCTTCCAGATTGGACTGCGCGCAGCGCATCTTGCCGGGGGACCCTGAACCGCCTGGTCATGGCGCCGGGCGCTGCAGAGTCCCCTGTCCTGTCCCCCTTCCGCCTGGCCGGGACTGCGCCCCTTCTCAGGGCCACTTTGGAGCCGGCTTTGTAAAGGCTCCCAGCTCTCCGCGCCCAGGCCTGGCTGAGCCGAGGTGTGTGCGTGGGGGGGAGCTCAGCGCAGGAGACATGGCGCCGGGCGCTGCAGAGTCCCCGGGTGGGAGGGAACCTGGGCAGCTGATCGCCCCCCCCCCCGGCTGTCCAAGAAACCAGGGTAGGGAGGGGTGTCTGGCCCGACTTGAAGACCTGCTGTACCCTGGCCCAGAGGCTGCCGCCTGCCCCATTGGGGAACGATATCCAAGGAGCGGAAGATCCTACCCCCCCGCAATTGTAACCTCCCTCCCCCAAGGCCTCCTGGATTCGGCCACCAGTGCGGCCCGGCCCGAGCGCGCCACGCGGGGTCCGCACCCGCGCAGGGTTGAATTCCAAGCGCGGGTTTCAGCGCAGCGGGAGGCGGCTTGGAGGGACGCTGCTGCCACCGGGCTGGGAGGCACATTCCACCTGCTTGGCTGGGACGCAGCCCGGACCCCACGGCCGCCCTCTGGCCGCCTGTTCCCTGTGCGCCTTAAGGCCTCCCGAGATGTATCAATTTGCGCCTGCCGCAAGCGCCGGCCGACTGGGCTCTCCTTCCCCGGGACCGAGCCCTGCGCGACTGAATTGTGAAAAACTTCTATAGCGCAACCCGGAGAGCCCGAGCCGGGCGCATTTGAGCCGGGCCCACGCGCTGCCTCGCGGCCCTTATTTTCTTTCAGGCCCTTCTCGCTGCGCATTATCAGCCCGTCTGTCATTTCAGCCACGGAAACCACCGGGCGGGTTTCTTTGGGGTGTTTTGCACGCGTTCACTTTCCGAACGGGAGCGGGAGTGTCCTTGCGCCGCCCGTGTAAAAAAGGCGCGCGGCGCAGAACGGGCGCAGCGGTATTTTCAACCCAGGGCTATTTTCAGAGCCCCACCCGTTAGCAACGCGCAGCGGACACTATTTCCAGCTTTGCAGCCGCCGAAGTGGGAAAGGGCAGGACAGGGAGAAAAGCGTTTTGATTCCTTCGCAAAGGTGCTGAAAGGGCAGGAAGCGACCTGGCACCAAGGTGGGGGCTGAGCGCTGCGCTAGGACTGAGCTCTCTCTGCACCCCCGGGTCCAGAGAAGCCGGTTCTTTCGGCACAACCAGCCCTGTTCCTGGTGCGTTTTCCTGCACTTGTCCGTGGGAACGAGCCGCGGGGGAAACGCCCCGATCGCTGCTAGAGTCCCTGGCTGGAAAGGGGTAACACGGCGACTTGCTCCCCGCCCCGGGCTGGAAAAGCAACACCCTCGCATCTGCTTTTCCCTGCAGCCCGCGTAGGCTCGGGAGACGGCGCAGCAAGAACCCCAGTCACGACAGGGCTTCATTGCGGGGCCGCCCGCCACGCTCCCGTCTGGAATGCGGCGCAGCGCGCTCCGCGTTTACACGGGGGCTAATCAGAGGCGGGGCCCGCCGCCCCCGCAGCCTTGCGAAGCCGCGTTTGCTTTGCACTTTGTCCCTTCTCGCCCCCCAAACGAAATCTCCTTCGTCCCGCAGTCGTGGCCCGCGCGTGGCCTCCCCGGGGCTGACTCACAGGCTCAGGGAGGCGGCAGCCCCCACAAGTCGATGGGAACCGCAAGGCTAGAGGGAAATGTCGTTTAAAAACCCGGCGCCAGCAATTTGCCGGCGAGAGGAGACGGACCCGGCTCCCCCCCCCCTCGCGGCGCCCACGGGCTTCCCGAGACCTCCCCCTCCCGGAGGATCCGCGCTGTGAATTCCCGATGCCGGCCCGTGGGCTCCGCAGGTTGCGACATTTGAAGCCCCTTGAACGGGGCAGCGTCTTAAACTCCGCGCTGGGAGCTGCCGACAGTTCCCGGGACGGGCCCCGAGATCGCAGGCAAAGCGGGGCGGGAAGGGGGCGGTTTGCCTGATTTTTTGCAATGGCCATTAAGCTGGGCTGCTGACCCGGTGTGAATTCCCGATGCCGGCCCGTGGGCTCCGCAGGTTGCGACATTTGAAGCCCCTTGAACGGGGCAGCGTCTTAAACTCCGCGCTGGGAGCTGCCGACAGTTCCCGGGACGGGCCCCGAGATCGCAGGCAAAGCGGGGCGGGAAGGGGGCGGTTTGCCTGATTTTTTGCAATGGCCATTAAGCTGGGCTGCTGACCCGGCTTCCCAGGAGCCCTCGGGCCGGGCCGGACTAGCCGCGTGCCCCCAGCCTGCTGGGGAAACCCCG